ACGGACAAAAAAATATTTAACTAACAATGGCCACAAAGTTTCCAAATTTGACAAAAACTATGAGCTTACAGATGCAAGAAGCTCAATAAACCCTAAGCACAAGAAGCATTAAAAAAAACTACACCAAGACCCATCACAAATCAAACACTCAAAACGAGTGGTTAAGAAAAATATTAAAAGCAGATAGAGAAAAACGTCACATTAAATAAAGAGGAACAAAGGCAAGCATATTTCTCTGGAAGTATGGCAAATGAGAAAACAGTAGCAACATCTTTAAAGTGCTGAAAGAAAAAAAACTGTCAACCTAGGATTCTATACTCAATAGAAATAAATTTAAGAAATGAAGGCAAAGTAAAATTATTTTCAGATATAAAAGAATTGAGAGAATTTATCACTAGCTGACCTGCACTACAAGAAATGTTAAAGGGAATCCTTAAAGTTAGAAGGAAACTGATGCCAGCTGGAAATGTTTTCACAAAGAAACAAAGGGCACCGGAAGTAGTAACTGCATGGATAAACATAGAAGATTTTTCTGAGTATTTAAGTATCTTAAAAAGAAAACTGTTTAAACAAAAATTATGACAGTGTATTATAGGGTTTTTAACATAGGTATACATAAAATTTATGACAACAAATATACAAGTTCAGTAGGGAAGAAATAGAAGAATTAGGAAAGATAATGGAACTGTGCTACTGTAAATTTCTTCTATAGCTACATCTTGACTTTTGACAAGTCAAGAGTTGCATCAAATAAACCCATAGTAAGTTGAAAATATCATAAGTCGAAAAAGCAGCTGGGCGCAGTGGCTCACACCTATAATCCCAGCACCTTGGGAGGCTGAAACAGGCAGATCACCTGAGGCCAGGAATTCAAGGTCAGCCTGGCCAACATTGTAAAATCCCATCTCTACCAAAAATACAAAAGAATTAGCCAGGTCTGGTGGTGCACACCTGTAGTCCCAGCTACTTGGGAGGCTGAGGTGGGAGAATTCTTGAACCTAGGGTGCGGAGGTTGCATTGAGCCAAGATCCTGCCACTGCACTCCAGCCTGAGTGACAGAGCAAGGCCTCATCTCAAAACAGGAAAAAAAAAAAAAAAGCATTTAATACACCTAAGCTACTGAACATCATAGCTTAGCCTAGCCTACCTAAACATGCTCAGAACACTTACATTAGCCTACAGTTGGACAAATCACCAAATCACCTGGCAACACAGTACATTATAGAGATCAGTTGTTCACTATCATGATCATATGGCTAACTGGGAGCTGAGGCTCTCTGCTGCCACCCACTATCATGAAAGTATCATACTGCATATCGCTAGCCTGAAAAAAGATCAATACCAGAATTCAAAGTACGATTTCTATTGAATGCATATTGCTTCCAAACCATCACAAAGTTGAAAAATTATACATTAAAACCATTGTAAGTCAGGGATTGTTTGTAATATACATGAAGTATTATATCACTTGAAAGTAGATTGTGAAAAGTTAAAGAAGTTTGCTACAAACCCTAAAAAAGCCACTAAAAGAAAAAAAAAAGAGTTATAGCTAATAAATCAACAAAGGAAATAAAATGGAATCATAAAAATAACCCAACAGAAGGTAGAAAAAGGGGCACAAAGAACAGATGGGACAAGTTGGAAATAAATAGCAATAAGATAGAATTTCAAAGAGAAATCAATGAATTTGAGATTTCAATATTCTTCTCTCAATAGTTAATAGAACAAGAAGACAGAAAATCAGTAAGGATTAGAAGACTTGGAACAATACTACAAGCCATTTTGAACTGATTGACATTTATAGAACTCTCCACTGCACAAAGCAAAATGGTTATTATTTTAAACTGCACATGGAAAATTTAACAAGATAGACCATATTCTGAACCAAAAATAATTTTCAATAAATATAAAAGAATTCAAGATATGCAACATATGTTTTCTGACCACAATGGAATTAATTAGAAATCAATAATGGATCAGTAATGAGATCTTTAGTTAAAAAAAAAAAAAGAAATCAATAATAGATATCTGGAAAATTCCCAAATATTTGGAACCTAAACAACACATGTCTAAGTACCTCATGGATCAAAGACATCATATGGTAAATTAGAAAATATTTATGAACACATCCCATATTAGACTTGCAGAATACTTCTATATCAGTACTGAATTTCCCTATAACAATTAAAGAAAAGAAATTTGTAATTAAAAACACTTCATGAAGAAAATTTTAGGTCTAGATGACTTTACTAGATAGTTCTAACATTTAGCAAGAAACAATACCAAATTCTACAAAAACTCTTCCACAAAATTGGAAAGGAGAGACTATTTACCAACTCATTCTTTAAGACCAGTATTACCCTTATAGTACAACCTGACACAGACATTTCAGGAAGAGAAAACTACAAACTAGTATCATTCATGAACACGGATATAAAAGTTCTAAGCAAAATTTAGCAAATCAAATCCAACAATGTGTAAAAAGAATATATCATAACAAAGGAGGGTTTATCTCAGAAATCCAAAAGTTGGTTTAATATTTGAAAATAAATTAATATGTCAAGTAGAAAAAAATGCAGCCCTCTCAATAGACACAGCAAGAACATTCAGCAAAATCCAGGATCTGTTTCTAATATAAATCTCTCAACAAACTCAGAAGTAAAAAGATCCTCCTTAACATGATAAAAGTCACCCATCAAAAATTTACAACTACTATCCTACTTAATAGTGCAAAACGGAATGATTTTCCTCTGAGATCAGAAAGAAGAGAGATATGTCCACTCTCACTGCTTCTATTCAACATCATACTTAAGCTTCTAGCCAGAGCAACCAGACGAGAAAAAGAAAAGACATCCATATTCAAAAGGAAGAAGTAGAACTGTCTTTATTTGCAAATGGCATGATTACCAATGTAAAAAATCCAGTGTAACAGCAACAATGAAAAAACTACCATAACAAATGTTCATAATAGCTTTATTTGTAATATCCAAAAGCTGAAAATAACTCAAATATCCATAAACAGGTGAATGGATAAGTAAATTGTAATATATTTATACAATGGACTACTACTCAGCAATAAAAAGAAATGAATTGCTGAAATACACAAAAACATTGGTGAATCTTAAAACAATTATGCTAAGTGAAAGAAGGTATACTAAAAAAGTATTTTTAATGTCATTTTTTTTAAAAAAAAACACTTTAAAAATGACAATGCCAAGTTCTGACAAGGACATGGAACAATGAAATGTACATACATCACTTTTCCAAAGTAGATGTACCAGCAAAATAGTAATCCTTTTTGGAAAATAGTTTGGCAGTTTTTATAAAGTTGAGTATGTTCTTACTATGCAATTCTATGATGCTATGTCTAGTTATTCACCCAAGAAAAATGAAGACATGTCCACACAAAAACCTGTATACGAATGTTTTAGCAGCTTGGTTCGTACTTGTCAAAACCCAGAAACAACCCAAAAAGTCCAATTGTACAAACACACAGTTGGTACATACATGAACTAATTACACATGGAATATACAATGGAATACTACTCAGCAATAAAAAGGAATGTACTAGTTATACATGAAGCAACAAGGAGGGATCTAAAAAGTATCATGCTAAGGAAAAAGCCAAACGCAAAAAGCTACATACTGTTGGATTCCAATTATAGGGCATTTGAGAAAAAGAAAAACTAAGGACAGGTATTAGACGAGTGGTGCCAGGGAGCAGGTTGTAGGGTATAATTTAATTGCCAAGGAGCTTGGAGCCATGATTGAAGGTGATGGAAATGGTTTATATCTTGAGTGTGGTGGTAATTATACAATTGCGTAAATTTGTCAAAACTCATAGAACTATATTTCTAAAAAGTGTGAATTTTGCTCTATGTAAATTACAGTGTACAAACAAACCAACAAAACAAAATACAGAAAACTGAAGAGAATAGTGTAACACAACTCTATATAATTTTTTTTCTCACATTAAAAAGAAAAGAGATGGATTAGCTTTGGGGGTGAGAAAAAGAAAAAATAAATAAAAACAAAAGAGAACATCCATTATAATCTTACATTAGAATTTGGCTGATATAGGGAAATTTTGTTCTATTACAAAATAGAAGAATTAGGACAATTATTTCAGGTATTCTTACTGTGATCATAATCTTAGGTTATTGAAGACTTATGAGTCCTAATACAGACACAAAAGAGATGAGAGTTTACCTAGTAGTTAGTGGCAAATAACCCAGATTCTAAATTACTTTGACCTTCTCTGTTATTCCTCTTTTGTGTATTGGCTATTGGTTGTCCTATAGAATATACAACTTGGGAATCAGAAAAATGTAATCCTGCTTTAAACTTAAGATTTAAGAAAGAAGAAAAAGCGAAAAATAGAAGAAGAAAATAAACGAAAGAAAATATAATAGGAGGCTCAACCTCACTCTATCTTTACTTTGGGAATTAGGTGTTCATTCTTTTATGTTTTTACTGGAAGAAGAAAATGGAAAATTGGCCTTGCAGCCTTCTTCAATCCTCTTCAGTATTTTTAAATTTTCCAAACATCTAAGAAAATGAACAAGTCATTATTTAGTTTCTGATAGGAGTTTGAGGGTTTCTAATTTCATACACAGGGACTCCTCTCCTAGAATGACGCTTCTGCACTTGTATTTTTAGTCCTCCAATTTTCTCTTGGAAAAGTTGGTGGCTAGCGGGCTTTGGGATCAAATCCCAATTCTGCTACTTCCTAGCTGTGTGACCTTGAGCAAGTTAAATCTCAGTTTCTTTATGTGTAAGCTGCTATAATAATACCTTGTCATTAGAGCTGGGGGAGAATTAAACTGAGAAAAATATATATTAGGCCTGAACACTATATAGTTACAATATATAGTCTGCTAAATACACTATATACTCTATACACTAGTATATCGTCTGTTAAATTGCTCAATTTATAAGACCCTCTGAATAGCCATTGTTGTTGTGTAAATCATGCCACATTTTGTTTCTCTCCTTCTTAGGCTATAATGGAGGGCAGTGGTCGAATAAGGGCAGAATCTTATCCAGATAGCAGCACTCTGGTCATTGATGTAGCTGAAAGGGATGACTCTGGTGTTTACCATATCAATCTGAAAAACGAAGCTGGAGAGGCACATGCAAGCATCAAGATTAAAGTTGTGGGTAAGTCCTCCAGGTAAACAAACTTCTGGAATCAAGCTGACATGTCGAGATTCAGAATAGACTTTCCTTCTTTGTCCTTGCCTTCCATTTCCTTCCTTTCTCTTTCCTTTGTCTTCTTTTTTCTTGCCTAGAGGACTTCTCATTGGAGGAAGAGTAGCTAAGGTGAGCCATTTGGGGTTACTGGCAATTAGCTCTCCAAAGTCATATTCCCTTTTGATGCCCTTTAAACATCACTGAAAAATAATTACTAAATAACTTCTCACGTCACAATCATTACAGAGAGGTAAGATCTGCTTTGGTTCTTAGACAACTATCTAAGTGCATTTTTCCTAAGCCCAAAACTGAGAAAAATGAGTCTAGCAGATAACTACTGTTCCAAGGTCTGATGCTCTCCTCTTCTCACTTTAGTTTCTCCTTAAATGACATATTTCAAATTGACCAAAAACTGAGGTCATTTTTATCAGACATCAAACTATATTTACAAGATATTGTGACTTGTCATTTCTGACTTGGATTTCTACCAGCCAACATCTTGAGTATCTCAATTGATGTAAAACTCCTTGACACAGTTCTATTGGAAGTTCACTTGGTGGTTAAAAACAACAACAACCATATTCAACATTTAGACAATAATTTCTTGGCTAACATTTTCAAGGTAAGGAATGAGAGTCTTAGGTTTCATCTGGTGCTTATTCTATAATGTTGGGACACTGGTTTAAGGGATTTGGAGACATTCTTATTTCTATTTGGGGCAAGGGGCAGGCTCATCTTCCCTTATCCCATATTGAGCAAAAATTTTTGCCCAAATTAGTTACTAATTTGTATTAATCTGTTTTCATGCTGCTAATAAAGACCCACTAGAGACAGGGTAATTTATAAAGAACAAGAGGTTTAATGGACTCACAATTGCTTGTGGCTGGGGAGGACTCACAATCACAGCAGAAAGTGAAAGGCATGGCTTGCATGGCAGCAGACAAGAGAGAGAGAATGAGAACCAAGCCAAAGGAGTTTCTCCTTATAAAACCATCAAATCTCATGAGATTTATTCACTACCATGAGAACAGTATGTGGGAAATTGCTCCCCTGATTCAATTCTCTCCCACCAGGTCCCTCTCACAACACATGGGAATTATGGGAGCTACAATTCAAGATGAGATTTGGGCAGAGACACAGCTAAACCACATCATTCTACCCCTGGCCCCTCCCAAATCTCATATCCTCACATTTTGAAACCAGTCATGCATTCCCAACAGTCCAGAAAGCCTTAACTCATTTCAGCATTAACTCAAAAGGCCACAGTCCAAAGTTTCATCCAAGACAAGGCAAGTCCTTTCCATCAATGAGGCTGTAAAACCAAAAGCAAGTTAGTTACTTCCTGGATACAGTAGGGGTGCAGGCATTGGATAAATACCCCCATTCAAAATGGGAGAAATGGGCCAAAACGAAGGGGCTAAAGGCTCTGTGCAAGCCTGAAATCCAGTGGGGCAGTCAAATCCTAAAGCTCCAAAATAATCTCCTTTGACTCCATGTCTCACATCTAGGTAATGCTAATGCAAGAGGTGGGTTCTCATGGTCTTGGGCAACTCCACTCCTGTGGCTTTGCAGGGTGCAGCCTCCCTTCTGGCTGCTTTCACAGGCTGGTGTTGAGTGTCTGCAGCTTTTCCAGGTGCATGGTGCAAATTATTGGTGGATCTACCATTCTGGGGTCTGGAGGATGGTGGCCCTCATTCACACAGCTCCATTAGGCAGTGCCCCAGTAGGGACTCTACGTGGGGGCTTCAACTCCACATTTCTCTTTCACACTGCCCTAGCAGAGGTTCCCCACAAGGGCTCCTTCCCTGCAGCAAACATCTGCCTGGACATCCAGGCATTGCCATAGATCCTTTGAAATCTAGGCAGAGGCTCCCAAATCTCAATTCTTGACTTCTGTGCACCCTCAGGCTCAACACCAGGTGGAAGCTGAGAAGGCTTAGGGCTTGCACTATCCGAAGTCACAGCCTAGCCCGTTTTAGCCATGGCTAAAGTGGCTGGGATGAAGGGCACCAAGTCCCTAGGCTGCACACAGCAGGGGACTCTGGGCCTGGCCCAGAAAACCATATTTTTCCTTCTAGGCCTTGGGGCCTGTGATGGGAGGGGCTGCCGCAAAGGTCTCTCACATGTCCTGGGGACATTTTCCCCATTGTCTTGGGGATTAACATTTGGTTCCTCCTTACTTATGCAAATTTCTGCAGCCTGCTTGAATTTCTCTTCAGAAAATGAGTTTTTCTTTCTATTTCATCTCCAGTCTGCAAATTTTCTAAACTTTTATGCTCTGTTTCCCTTTAACTGAATGCTTTTAACAGCACCCAAATCACTTCTTAAATGCTTTGCTGCTTAGAAATTTCTTCTACCAGATACCCTAAATCATTTCCCTCAAGTTCAAAGTTCCACAAATCTCTAGGGTGGGGGCAAAACGCCTCTAGTCTCTTTGTTAAAACATAGTAAGAGTCACATTTACTGCAATTCCCAACAAGTTCTTCATCTTCATCTGAGACCACCTCAGCATGGATTTCATTGTCCATGTCATTATCAGCATTTTGGTCAAAGCCATTTAACAAGTCTCTAGGAAATTCCAAACTTACCCACATTTTCCTATCTTCTTCTGAGTCCTCCAAAGTGTTCCAATCTCTGCCGGTTACCCAGTTCCAAAGTCACTTCCACATTTTTGGGTGTCTTTACAGCTGTGCCCCACTCTGCCAGTACCAATTTACTGGATTAGTCTGTTTTCATGCTGCTGGTAAAGATACCCCCAAGACTGGGTAATTTATAAAGAAAAAGGGGTTTAATGGACTCACAGTTCCTTGTAGCTGGGGAGGCCTCACAGTCATGGTGGAAAGTGAAAGCCATGTCTTACATGGCAGCAGACAAGAGAGAAACAATGAGAACCAAGCCAAAGTGGTTTCCCCTTACAAAACCATCAGATCCCTTGAAACTTACTCACTACCATGAGAACAGTATGGGAGAAGGTACCACTATGATTCAGTTCTCTCCCACTGGGTCCCTCACACAACATGTGGGAGTTATGGGAGCTACAATTCAAGATTAGATTTGGGTGGGGACACAGCCAAACCATATCATAAGTGTAATTCAATAAACACGGAAAAGTACTGACATAACAGTTTCTATGATTATCACCAACCAACATATTTTCCTCTTTTTTTGTACTCCCTCTTCCTTATTTTATCCAATTTTTTGTTTGCTACAGACCTCCCTGATCCTCCAGTGGCACCAAGTGTGACAGAAGTGGGAGATGACTGGTGTATCATGAAATGGGAGCCCCCTGCCTACGATGGAGGGTCTCCAATTCTAGGTGACTACGTGTTGGCTAGTCTGTGTAACTGCCAGTGCAGTTGTGTCCTCTTTACACAGCTTAGTACAGCGCACATTTTAAAATATTGCATTTAGAAGAAAACCTATTTCACTGTGACTTTATGCATTCAAAATGAAATATATATGTTGAGATGCTCTGCAATTACTTGAGATTTAAACAGCTCTGATGAATATCATCTGATTTCTGGTTTTCTTTTTTTTGTTTGACATTTATACACACTAATTTTGAAGCAACTATAAACCTAGTTTCCACTATCCTAGCCAGTGAATGTCTGATTCTACAGGACTTTGTCTATGAAGAAATTTCTTTTAGAATTAAATGCTTAGGCTGAGCATGGCGGCTCACACCTATAATCCCAGCACTTTGGGAGGCCTAGGTGGGCAGATCACTTGAAACCAGGAATTCAAGACCAGCCTGGCCAACAAGGTGAAACCCCATCTCTACTAAAAATACAAAAATTAGCCGGGCGTGGTTGTGTGCAACTGTGGTCCCAGCTACTTGCTACTCAGGAGGTTGAGGTGGGAGGATGACTTGAGCCCGGGGCATGGAGGTTGCAGTGAGCCAAGATGACACCACTGCACTCCAGCCTGGGCAAAAGAGTGAGAATCTGTCTCAAAAAAAAAAAAAAAAAAAAAAATTTAAACGCTTAGAAGAATTTGCTTCCCCTATGGCATGAGAATTTTTTCTCTTTGCTAACAATGAGACCTACAAAACTGGTTATTTCTGCCTTCTTCTCTTCCTTGCTGGGACTCAGAATCAACTACATTGGCTCTGAATACATTGTTTACCTATAGTGACTAAGTTGCTATGGCTGACTTATCTGTGATCCATTTTTCTTCTCTTTGTAGTACAATTTTAATTTTTCAGTCCCATTATTTTTATCTATATTTTATATTAATATTTATATTCTCTTGTAATAGGTAGGTTAAAAATATTTACATACATGTACGACTATTTTACATAGATCGCTAACAAAAGGCAAAATTTTAAGGACTTCTGATATCTGACAAAATTTAATTTAGGAGACCTAGATGTAGAACTTTTGTGTCTATTTTTGTTTGTATCTCAGCTGATTTTATCACAGTTCCTGCACTATAGCTGTGTAGTTAATAGTTCTCATTTTGCATACCTGCAGGATATTTTATTGAGAGGAAGAAGAAACAAAGCTCCAGGTGGATGAGGCTGAATTTTGATCTCTGCAAAGAAACAACTTTTGAGCCCAAGAAGATGATTGAAGGTGTAGCCTATGAGGTCCGCATCTTTGCAGTCAATGCCATCGGCATCTCCAAGCCCAGTATGCCCTCCAAGCCTTTTGTTCCTTTGGGTAAGTCAATAGAGATGAGTCTTTGTCATGGAAATGAATGCCCCAGAGTATGGCTGCTTTCTCTCTGATCCCTAACTGGAACAAGCCAAGATGGTTTTTAGAGTGGTAGATGGGCAGGAGCTTGGAAATAGGGACAATTTTATGTCTAAGAAATTAAAAAGTAGGTTTGGTCAAGTTGAATAACTTCATAACATAGGCCCTGGAATTCATTACCAGAATTCCAGTGCCAACTGTGGGTGGCTCTGGTTGCCATTACCCACTGAAAACATGTTGCTGAGTCCATGAACACATGACTACCCTCCATTTGCCCTTCTGAAAGTATTAGGCTATTAATATAACCCGACTTCTTAGTGTAAACAACTGTCACTAAAACAAATTGAGATTAGTTCAACAGGCCACACTTGGAAACTGGTTTCTTTGCTTTACGGTCACATCTTAAATGTTACCTGTTGATCAAAAAAGTTAATTCAGTGAAGGCAAAAAAAAAAAAGAAAGAAAGAAAAGAAAGGCGTCTCCATTATTTTATGACAACGTGGTATTTTTTTCAATGGAAAGAAAATATAATACAAGAGTTTGCACTTGGAAATTGGAGAGCAACAGGAAAATTGTTCTAGATTATTAGATCCCAAACCTTGACTTCTTCAACTTCCTTGGGTCTTCTAGCTTCCCACACCAGTTTCTCAATTTGGAAAAAACACATGAAAGCATTTCCAAAATTCTCACGTTGATCAGATCTTTGCTTTGCATACAACCATGCTCAAGGTGTCTTAACTGAATGTCATTAAGATGTAGGGCTTTCATGTCTATTTTTATTTGTATCTCAGTTGATTTTATCACGGTTCCTGTACTAGAAGCTGTGTTGTTGATAGCTTATTCTTTTCTGTCTCTTTTATCTTTAAGCTGTAACAAGCCCTCCTACTCTTCTGACTGTGGACTCTGTCACTGACACGACTGTCACAATGAAGTGGCGCCCCCCAGACCAGATTGGTGCGGCAGGTTTAGATGGCTATGTGCTAGAGTATTGCTTTGAAGGAAGTAAGTACAACCAGTAGATAAAACGAATACTGTCATCAATAGGTGAGATATGTCCCTCCCCTTTCTTTTGCCTCTCTTTATTGAGAATGCATCACCTTCCTACTGAAAATAAGATTAAGCCAATGTTGTCCTTCTGAGATGTATAAAAACTAAGCCCTTTTTTAGTTCTTGGTGCTTATAAATTGATATCTCAAAAGTACCTTTGCCAGGCTGCCACATTGGATGCCATAAGTGAACTAAGACATGGGAAGAAGAGATTGTAACAAAACTTCAGGGACTTCCACTTCTTGAACTGGTGGAATTGAATTGCACCACAGCAAAATAAAAGTCTAGTTACAATGAAGCCAGTGGGAAATTCTAAAACCTATACTGAGCCAAAGTTTACTATCAAAAGAGTGGCCTATTCTGGGTAATAAAAAGAGACTACATATTTGGCTAGTGATCATAACTTGCCTTCATCTAAAAATAAGAAGAATTAAGAACCGCTTTTAGTTTTAAAGGAAGCAGCATTAAATCCTAGAGCATATAAGAAATAAGTTCAATATGCAGCAGTAACTTTTCTCAGGGGTTGGGGATACAAAAATGTAATCAGTTGGCCAGGTGTGGTGGCTGACGCCTGTAATTCCAGCACTTTGGGAGGCCAAGGTGGGCAGATCACGAGGTCAGGAGTTCGAGACCAGCCTGACCAATACCGTGAAACCCCATCTCTACTAAAAAAATAAAATACAAAAATTAGCTGGGCGTGGTGGCACGCTCCTGTAATCCTAGCTACTTGGGAGGCTGAGGCAGGAGAGTCGCTTGAACCCAGGAGGCAGAGGTTGCAATGAGTCAAGATCACGCCACTGCACTCCAGCCTGGGCAACAAAGAGAGAGACTGTGTCTCAAAAAAAAAAAAATGTAATCAGTTAAATTTAGGAGGGGAAGAGAAACAAGGCCATACATTTTTTAAATCACTGATAGAGACAATAGAAAAAGAAAAAATGACAGAAGAAAATATCGGCCAGAATTACCTGAAAACCAAAAGAACATGAAATTTACCAAAATCCTGTTGTGTTTCTCGGTTTCTTATTTGCGGTAACTAGAAAGAAATGACATTTGAAAATGGCTCTGGACTTGGGCTCCGTTCTAGACAATGGTAGGTAAACAATCAACCAGGAAACTTTTTCACACTCCACAAACAGTAGCCCAAGACTTCACCTCCAAGAAAAATCTTTGGACACCAAATTTTAATATGGATCCTCCAAATGAAGGAAGGAGGTTACGGGGCACATTTGGGAAATCAGGAATGTGAGCACAAATGCACCTCCCCTGGAGGAAGCTCACTATGGAGAAGAAACTTCCTCTGAAGAGAAAACTGCCGAAAAAGAAATCCCAGGCCCCTGGATTGGGCACCTGTAGAAATGCTCACCTTTGCTCTGAAGGGAAGAAGACAAAAGAGACGATGAAGTATCCGAATACGCCTCTATCCCTCTAGCCTGTACTCCACACACGGAGTCCTACGCTTGGTTTCTCCAGGATTTGAAAACCACTAACCAAAACCAATGGAAACATTGGCAGAAACTTCCCAGGGTTAACCCAGCAAGGGAGGGGGGTAGTGTCACTAATGCAACAAGCACATTCTTGAGCACTTCAGTTTATTTGTTTTCCATTTTCCCCTTCGTTTAAAAAAATCGTGAGCACTCCATCCTTTTTTTTTTATATTGTCCAGCCAGCAGAATATCCCAATCTTATGTGTGATATGGCTTTTGAGCACAAACCTTTTGTGTATGTACGAATCGAGCAAATTCTTTACTCTTTTCTTTCTGATAGGTTTAAAAAGTAAGAAGATACAGCAAAATGATAGATGGCTGTCATTTTGATGTTACCCACCTTAGATAAAATACAACGAAGTGTATTTTACATAATTTTGCGTGTGATCTGTGTAGATACATATGTATATCTGTGTATACATATGTATATGTACACAGTCATTATTATTTATCTATTTTGCCGAGTAACATTTTGGAACAAGCTTTCTATGGAAGTTCTCTCATAACGTGTATCTCTTTCTTCTTGCAGTCTTTTCTTATTTTCTTTATGTGGCTGCCGACTCTTCATTCTCTTTTAATGGCTGTTGTCCTCCAGACTAATTTCCTATAGTGTTTAATGCTTTTAGAGACGTCAGGTTTTATTCTCTAAGAGAATTCTTTGTTTTTTAAGATCGTGTGTTGTTTTGGACTCTGCCTTTCTCTCGTTTTTGTTTTATTATTATTTGAATGCCTGCAGCATTGTACTCTTCTTTGTTTTCTTTCTGCACTCTAGTTCTTTCTTTCCTTTCTTAAAAATTCTCCTCACGTGTTAAATAACTTACATATTCCTTCCCCATTCCCCGGGACACCATCTTCTTTGTCTGTGTTTCCCTCAATTAAAGTGGTTCCAATGTGAAGAGATGGGCTACTTTCGTTCCCCCCGGTCTTGTTTCGTCCTGTTTTCTCTTGAAATTGTCACTTTTACTAGTTCTTCACTCTTTTGTATATGTTTTCTCAGTCTCTTATTTTCACTTTCTCATCTACTGTCTCTCGACTATGAAAATACCAACACAGAAGCTCCCAAGCTGACTGTTTGTTTAAAGATGTGTCTCTTTTTCAACATAAGGAATTTTTATTCTCCACATGCCTTCCCAGCTGCCAGGATATTCTAGCTGCCGGCTCCTTCTCCTAGATATTCCTGGTAGGGTTAGAACAAGACAAAGGCAAAGGTCCCTTAGGACAGCCAGTCCAGTCCCCAATGTCCCCACTCCTCTCTTAATACTGAGAAAGTCATCATCCCAAACCAGTGTTGCACGCCCAAGACTACCCTATGAGCCACCCATGTGGGTTGCAGGGACCTGGGCAGGCTCAATGTGTTTTCTTGACACAGAGTTCATTGTCATGGGAAACAGGGCTGCCTCCTGAGCTGCTGGGGCAGCCTCCAATTCTATTCAGAACTTGGGCCCTGGTGAAATAGGACTGGCCTTACCCCAAGGGCCTGTACTCCCAGTCTCAAATGAGGGACCCCCACTGTGGGAGCACCGTGTTCCCTGAGGACCCAGGGGAATCCTCCTCTGTTGGGGTGGCAGAGACAGGGACAAGGATAGACTGTCTCACTGTGTGCTGCTCCCCGGCGGATTCCAGGACCCGCTCCTCCGTTTTCTTCAGGATCTTGCTTTGCACTTCTCTATCTCTTCTTCCCACCGCTGGAGATGTCCCAGCCTCCTTTCTCCTCTTCTCTTTTCTTTTCTCTCCTCTTCTCTGTGGCAGGTGCCTCAGGACAGAAGCCGCAGTCTGCACAGAGCAGGCTGTGCTCTCCTGAGGAACCCCCCTAACACGTTTGGTCTCTTCCGTCACTGCTCTGAGGACAAATCTCTTTGCACACTTTGCATACTTTACTAACAGAGAATGCTGACTGCTGATACGATATTCTTCTGGTGTGAAAGTGGGTGTCTTTAATTAATTTTAATGACGGATTCTCAAAGGTACATCAGCAAAACAGTCTGATGAAAATGGGGAGGCTGCGTTTGATCTGCCAGGTAAAGTATGCTGTGAAGCTCTCAAACTTTCTTACTATATTATGATGTTTCTGGGAATGTTAGATGACCAAGCATGAAGTATACTCACCACACACACACACACACACACACACACACACACACACACACTCACTGACATCCTTAGAGTTGAGGGAGAGGGAGCAGTGAGTTAATAATGTTAGATTGAAATATTCTTTCTTTCTGTGGGCAAAATGAACACTAACTTTTAGATGCTGAAACATTTGTAAGCCCTGGATGCTGGATTAAAATTCTCTTGATGTTATACACAAAGCTACCAAAAACTTTTTAAAAATTAGATTTTGGTTGCAAGGATAGAATTGTACCAACTCTTTATGAGGTATCAGCCCATGAACTGTGTTTTCTCTTTGTGATATAAGCTTTTTCTCTTCATGAATGTGAATAAACATGGTCAGGTTTTCTATACCCATGTTAGTGTCTCACTATAATAAATCAACCAATATAAAAATATATTGTATGGCGGGACACGGTGGCTCATGCCTGTACAGCACTTTGGGAGGCCGAGGTGGGCGAATCACCTGAGGTCGGGAATTTGAGACCAACCTGACCAACATGGAGAAACCCCAACTCTACTAAAAATAGCCGGGCGTGGTGGTGCGTGCCTGTAATCCCATAATCCTGGCTACTCCGGAGGCCGAGGCAGGAGAATCACTTGAACCCAGGAGATGGAGGTTGCAGTGAGACAAGATCACACCACTGCACTCTAGC